GAAACACAGTCGGTCCGTTTTCATCGCTGCTCCACCGAATGCGCCGCGTTTCTATCGGGGACCACGGGAAAGTTCCGACTGCCATGCCCGCGCGGCGATGTCGCGACGTCCATCGCCCAAGCACTTATGGCAGACGCGTCCTGCTCGGCGAACACGATCCGAAATTGTTTCTCGAGCCACCCTCGATATTTCTCGCGTCGATCCCGGGGCACAGAAATTGCTTCATACTCGACCGCGACACGTCGTCATCGGCTTCGAACGGCTCGTCGGCTAACATAACCTCGAATTTCTATCCAGGATCTTACGATGTGTATTACTGCGGATATATTATCTGTATCGTCGAAATATATTACCAACGTGACTAGTAATATATTATATATTATATGTATAATATATAATATATATATTCTCCCTCCCCCCCCCCGGCAAGGGGGTGATTCTACATGCAAACATAATTATCTATTATTACCTATATGGTCGAAATATATTATCAACATGACTAGTGATATACTATATATATCCACCCTCTCCCCCCAGCAAGAGGGTGATTCTATATGCAAAAATAAGTCGAGAAAGAGGAATACAGTAATGTCTCCCTAACTGACGCTAAGATTGTCCACAAAAATGGACAATTTGGGAAGAGGAGATAAGATTATTCGAGCCTTGTAGCTCGAGTTTTTATAGTTGTTGACAATTCGTAACTATAAAAAAAACGAACGGCAAGGCTTGAATAATCGTGTCTCCTCTCCCTAAATTGTCCATTTTTGTGGACAATCTTAGCGTCAGTTAGGGAGACATTACTGAAACATTTCCTTAATTCAAGGCTCCGTTTTCGAGAAAACCGAGTTGAAAGATGCGTGAAATTCGCGTGGCTTGTAACACGATGTAATACAAATATTTGTAATATTTATGTATATTTGTAATATTTATATATATTTTTGTAATATAAAGAAGTGTACACGTGATTTTCGTAACGGAAGGGGTGGTCGCGAAGTAATTTTTGCGTCGAATGCTTCGAAGGAACGCTTCGGCAAACGTGAACTGCTGTCTTCCCGCGACGCACAGATTTTCCGCTATATTCATTTATTTATGCAACCGAATGGGATATCCTGCGGAGATAGAGAGAGAGAGAGAGAGAGAGAGAGAGAGACAAAAAATGAGCAGTTCTTATATAAAGCATCGCGTCAATGGCCACGATCAACCGAGCATGTCGAGGCACGAGGAACGACGAAGGTCCCCTGAATGTGCTGAATGCTGAAGCGGACAAAAAGAAAACGCGGAACAAAGTGGAAGAAGGAGAAAGAGAGCGAGAGGGAGAGAAAGATGGAGAGAAAGAGAGAGAATGAGGCAGAAAAGGAGAGTAAGAGAGAGAGAGAGAGAGAGAAAGATGGAGAGAAAGAGAGAGAATGAGAGAGAAAAAGAGAGTAAGAGAGAGAGAGAGAGAGAGAAAGATGGAGAGAAAGAGAGAAAAAGAGAGAATGAGAGAGGCAGAGAAAGGAGCGAGAGAGAGAGTGGGCAGAGAAAGAGAGCGAGAGAGAGAGAGAGTGGGCAGAGAAAGAGAGCGAGAGGGAGAGAAAGATGGAGAGAAAGAGAGAGGATGAGGCAGAAAAGGAGAGTAAGAGAGAGAGAGAGAAAGATGGAGAGAAAGAGAGAAAAAGAGAGAATGAGAGAGGCAAAGAAAGGAGCGAGAGAGAGAGTGGGCAGTGAAAGAGAGCGAGAGAGACTGAGGCAGAAAAGGAGATCAAGAGAGAGAGAAAGATGGAGAGAAAGAGAGAAAAAGAGAGAATGAGAGAGGCAAAGAAAGGAGCGAGAGAGAGAGTGGGCAGAGAAAGAGAGCGAGAGAGAGAGAGAGTGGGCAGAGAAAGAGAGCGAGAGGGAGAGAAAGATGGAGAGAAAGAGAGAGGATGAGGCAGAAAAGGAGAGTAAGAGAGAGAGAGAGAAAGATGGAGAGAAAGAGAGAAAAAGAGAGAATGAGAGAGGCAAAGAAAGGAGCGAGAGAGAGAGTGGGCAGTGAAAGAGAGCGAGAGAGACTGAGGCAGAAAAGGAGATCAAGAGAGAGAGAAAGATGGAGAGAGAGAGAGAGAGAGAAAGATGGAGAGAAAGAGAGAAAGAGAGAAAGAGAGAGAATGAGAGAGGCAGAGAAAGAGAACGAGAGAGACTGAGGCAGAAAAGGAGATCAAGAGAGAGAGAGAGAGAGAAAGATGGAGAGAGAGAGAGAAAGATGGAGAGAAAGAGAGAAAGAGAGAGAATGAGAGAGGCAGAGAAAGAGAGCGAGAGAGACTGAGGCAGAAAAGGAGAGCAAGAGAGAGAGAGAGTGAAAGAGAGAAAGAGGGGAGGAGGTAAGGAAGACGGCAGGAACAAAAAGTTCGAGGCGTATTGAATCGTGTCCGCGTTGCCGGTCGTAGTAAGAGAGAGTGGTTCGCGAGCAAGTGCATTTGTCGTAAGCCTACAATATTTCGGTCTGTCTTCAATGGGTGCACGTGCGCCGAATTCGGCCCCGGCTACGACCATTATTCTCTCGGCAGACACAATCCTGTTGCATTTTGCATTCGACCGCGGCACCGTGCCCGGATTCTGAACCTGTTTAGGCCGGCCTTGCCGTAACACAATATCGTTGCGACCGAATGGACGTACACGCATCAGTTTAATCGGAAGAATTAACTGGCGTCCCCTCAATTGCGATCAATCGACCCGAACTCTTCCTATTCTCTTGTCTCCCCATTCTTCCGTCGACCTATTAACTCCTGGCTAGAGAAAGTTGTGACCGCTGTGTGTAAACCGTTCGGCTAAATCGCGTGTTATTTTATTTTATTTTATTCTATTTTATTTTATTTCGCGTTATATTAGTTTTTGGAAATACGCATGCTGGAGAAAATTACAGCGTGGACAAATTTTCGACAAATATCGGCCAATTTCGATCAACGATAACTTCGACAAAAATTATTGCACAATGATGATTTTGATCTTAAATTGAAGCTTGAAATCTCTGCTTTAAGACGGTGTTTTTAGATTTTAAGTTCGATGCTTTCTCGTTGCTATAATAATTTAAATGTGAGGCCATGTTCGTCATATTAAGAATTTCTATTTCTTTATTTTGTCAAATTCGACGAAATGCCCAGACTTTGTAGATTTTTTTTCGGAGACGCCGTTTACAGCTGGATAAAATACGAAACTTTCTCTTCAATTTGAGGGAAAAGAAACTTCGCTGCGATTTTTTTTCACAGAGTTACAGCACTTTGAAGTAGCCCTTGCATTTCTGCCGATAAATCCGCGAGGAATCACCGTAAAATGCACGGGTTGCTTCAAAGTGCTGCAACTTTGCGAAAAAAAGTCGCAGCCGAGTTCACTTTTGCTTAAATCAAAGAGGAAAGATTAAACTTTATTACGGTATAAACGGCATCTCCGAAAAAAGATCTACAAAGTCTGTGCATTTCGTCAAATCCGGCGAAAATCGAAATTTTTAATATGACAAACATGGTCTCGCATTTGAATTATTACAGTGGCGTAGGAGCGTCGAACATAAAATCCCGAAATATTGTCTTAAAGTAGAGATTTCAAGCTTCGATTTAAGATAAAACTTCGAAAGGACACTTTAACTGTGCATAAGATATTTTTACAACGGTTTCTGTGAAACATTCCTCGAAACATTAAACAACTTGTCACTGATCGCAGAAGAACAAATTCTATAAGTTAGTTACTGATTCGACATTTATAATTGTTAATTAAGAAATTCTGGAAACTTCAAGAAGCGATACTAATTCGTAGTCGACAGGCGAAACGATATATTTTACCCTAAAAATTGCGAGATCTTTTCGCGACGAAGAACAAATACGTATAAGCCATTTTCTGTTCGTCAAACGACAAAGGGACGCTTTCTATCTCGCAGAATTTCAACGAATTGCCACTATTTTGCAAGGAAATCAGTAGTAGACTGCAGTTGCGAGAGCACGAGTCCCGGCAGCCGCGCATTAGTGCGATTAAAAATGTGTACGGTTTCAATTTGGCCGGGGCCGAATGCGCGCCAGCTTAGCAGGTTTGCCACGGGATTATAGTGGCTTACTCACTATCGTTGCCCCAATTATATAGAATCCGCGCTTGATACACGATCTACGATCCAGGCCGGGGTTCAAGGAATTTCCGAACGAAGTTTCGGCGAAAGCCGAATTTCGCTCGACAACAAAACTTGATACGGAGGTCTCTTCGGCAATTAATACCGCGGCGAGGAGACCGGAATCCGAGAAATTCCGAAGGATCTCGCGGCGAACGTTGCTCCCCGTGGAAATCAACGTGTTCCAATTGAAGGGTTTTTAGAAGCTCTTTAACTTTTATCGCGGTCTTTAGAACCTATACATGCTACTCCATAATTATGTTAACGCCCGGGAATGGGTGATTCCTGAGATCATTCGAAGCAACTTTTTCCTTTACAAAAATTTTCTACGAGGCTTTATTTACGAGTTATTAACGAAAATATACTGACCAATGAGAGGCGAGCGCGCCTAGCGCGAGGCGGCCGAGCCAATCGGCGGAACCGGGCATCGACCGCCGCGCGCCAGCTGAGCTCGCTTCTCATTGGTCAGCGTTTTTCGTTAATAACTCGTTAACGAAGCCGCGGATTGCATTTTCGCTAAGGAAAAAGTTGCTTCAAATGACCTCAGGAATCATCCCTGGATGTTAACGTAATTATGAGGTACCCTGTTTACTTCATTGTATACGTCGCTAAATCACCAATTTTATGCGGCGATAATTATTAGCAAAACGATATTTTGAAACCGAATTTGTTGACATCTGCATCGAAGGGGAATTTTATTGGTTTTATTAATTAATTATTAAGGATTACAAGTGGTCCATCTTGGTCCATCTCTCTAATCACTGACGATACTTTACCACCTACACGTAAAATAATTCACGTGACCGTAATTATTTGACGAGGCTGGAGATTGCTCGAAAGTCACCGTGAAATTTGCCGGCCTCTCATTTCGAATAATTTGTTCTGGTTGCAGAAAGCCTGTGCGGACGCCATGAGAAACGTTTATTGAATGAGCTTCTGTCGTCGTACAACACCCTGGAGCGGCCGGTCGCCAACGAGAGCGAGCCTCTTGAGGTGAAATTCGGCATTACGTTGCAGCAGATCATAGACGTGGTAAGTGATTTTCTTATGATGAACATTTATTACGAACCATTCTCGTTTCTAATTAACGTAAGTCGTTTAATTTCTTCGCGGTTGTTGCATCGTCACTGGACTCCTAGATTTTTCTATTGAAATGCAGGATGCGCGTGTTAACGCTAATTAATATTTTATTAAAATCATCAACAGTAAACCTAGCATCGAGACAATTTTCGTCGTCGTTCCAATTTTCATAAAAACACCTGTAAAAATTAATGTCTGCAGTTTAATCGTTTAATTTCTCAATAGTTCGGATGGCCCTGATTTTTTACCAGTTTTCAATACTTTTATTCAAATTTCGATTAGAACATCATTTCAATGAAAATATTGTCCCAATTAAAATATCATCGGCTGCGATCAAATGTAACTCTCCAATTTCAATATCTTCGATCTATTGGGTTGGCAACTAAGTAATTGCCGATTCCAGTTATAGATGTCTCTCACTCCCATTTTTATGATATCCGTAAATGTTGTATTATAAAATTATTATTATTATTATTATTATGTTATTTTTTATTATCCGTGAATGTTAGCAACTGGACAAATTGAATGCAGCGGTCAAGGAAAAGCGACCAGAATTGGTCGATCGTAAAGGTGTCATTTTCCAGCAGGACTATGCTAGGCCGCACGCGTCTTTGTCCATTCGGCAAAAATTGATGGATATTGGTTGGGAATCGATGTTACACCCACCATATAGCCCTGATCTCGCGCCATCGGATTACCACTTATTTCGATCCCTGGACAACTCCCTTCGTGGTAAAACTTTGAATGACGATGACGCTGTAAAATCTCACTTAACTCAGTTTTTGGCCGAAAAGGATCAGACTTTCTACGAGCGTGGAATTTTCAAGTTGTCAGAGAGATGGCAAAAGGTCATCGAACAAAATGGAAAATACATTACAGATTAAACTTCGTTCCAAGTAAAAAAAATTTTTCATTTCATTGAACAAATCGGCAATTACTCAGTTGCCAACCCAACAAGTACTCTCTGTTCTGGTGTAAATTTGACAGATTGATTCTCATTTCCTCCCGTTCTCACGTTATTCGTTGGTTTCCGAGGCCAGGCAGCGGCTTCGTGAATATTTGAAAACAAAAACAACGAAAATTACAGAGCTTCGAAGCTGCGCGAACAGCAAGCACACGCATCCGAGCATTAAACATGCATCGACCTGGCGCGTGTTACACACACACAGCGTGCTCGCGCGCCGACATTTATGTGTATCGACGGGGAACTGGTGCGGGCAATAGGCGAGACATTGGCTCTTCTGGTTGTCTTAAGGAGATCGCATTAGACCGGATTTACGTCGGAAGCATTTTCGCTTCCATCGCCGGCAAGCCGCACAATGGGGTCGGGAGGGTGGTTCGCATACATGCGCGGCGTTTCCATCGACGGGGCTCCCACGATGTATGAAAGATTTCTATTATGACCCTCCCCGTCTTCATTCTCTCGCCACATATGAGAAGTTACCTGAATCGTATATGAATGCTGTCTGTTACCGTTCGATCGGATTTCTTTTCTCGTATATTCACCGCCGCCAGGCCACAGAAAACACGCGGTGATGCTACAATGACATAATACTAACGCGACCGCGGCACAATGGTGTGCGAGAACGTGCGAGAAGTTCCATTATTCGCGTTAATGGTGGATACCGCGAAATATGTTATTATTATTATTGCCGGACGGAAAAATGCATCGACCAACGAAACGAACGACGCGAAAATACGCGAAAAGAGCGAAACACGTTCGATGAGTTCAATTGAAATTGTCTCGTGTTTATTTTCGGTTTACTTGGTTCTTTTTTATCGACGCTATTGTTTTGTAACCAGACTTATTTACGCTCGGTACGATTCGCACGAGATATATATATATATATATATATATATATATATATATATATATATATATATATATATATATATACAAGGTGTTCCAAAAATGTCTCGCAATCCGAAAGTGGCGGGTTCCTCGGGTCATTTGAAGCAACTTTTTCCTTTACAAAAATGTTCTCCGAGGCACTGTTAAAGAGTTATTAACGAAAAACAGTGACCAATGAGAGGCGAGCTGGGCTGGCGCGAGGCGACCGAGCCAATGGGCGGAACTGGGCTTCGCGCGCTGGTTGGCTGGGCCGTTTCGCGTCAGCCGTACTCGATTCTTATTGGTCACTGTTTTTCGTTAATAACTCGTTAACGGTGCGTCGGAGAACATTTTTGTAAAGGAAGAAGTTGCTTCAAATGATCCGAGGAACCTACTATTTCCAGATTGCGAGACATTTTTGGGACACTCTGTATATATAATTATACAACTTTATCACTTGTATTCTTTTTATCTTTATCTTTATCTTTATTTTTCTAGAATATATGTTGCTCGAATAACGAAGTCAATTATACAAATATTTTATTAATATATCAGGAATCGCGTAAAAAAGATCAAAAATCTGTCTGTTCGACTGGCTTGGTAATTCCAGAGTCGAGCAAAAAATAATTAAATTTTTAATCAATTTCTGTTTGTCGTAACTGCAGCAGACGATTGCTCGAAGCAACATGGAGCAACAATTTTAGTGCGATCGTGCATTATATATTTTGTGGAAAGTATAGTAAATTCTCCTTAATGTTTCTTCAGCTTGTAAACAAAAATGGATACACGATTTTTATAGTGTTCATAGTCGCCGATTGCCGACAATTACAAAAACGAGGTGCAAGGCTCGAATAATCGTATTCCTGCTCTTCCCAAATTGACCATTTTTGTTCACAAGCTGCAGGAAAATCATAGAGAATTTACTGCAGCGAACGAAAAGAAAAAATCGCTGTTAAACGGAAACGACGACGACGATTAAAACAAGATAGAACGTTGTCAATCGTTTTTATTCGCAGCTCTGGCCGACGATATTTCATTATCGGAACGTTCGAAACTGAATCTCGTCGCGATTCATCGAACCGCGCGGAGTCTCTCTCTCTCTCTCTCTCTCTCTCTCTCTCCTCTGCCGTAGAAAATGATTTCTTTCCTCCGTACGATTTCTCCGGCCGCGTTCCGGCCATTTCACAAATTTTTACGACTCCTCGGAATTCTTACCGACTCGCGAGTTAAGAATCCGCGCGCAATTATACGCCTCCCCGCGGCGGACTCTTTAAAAGGCTATAAAGAGCTTTATATAAAGGAGTCTATAAAAGTCGAGTATTGTTCTGTCACTCTAGATTCCAGATCGTTTGGACTTTACACGTTCAGCCGGTCGCGACTCGGTTTCGCATCGTTCGCCGAGGCTTCCGAATGTGTATGTATGTGTATGCGTACGTGCATGCATGTATGTATGTGTGTGTATGTGCCAAAGTCCGCGAACGGTTCACCACAGTTTCCAGAGTTCGCCTATCCGGCAAGTAAATCGCGCGGTTTATTTAATTACCGACTCGATCGCCGATCCAATTAACCGATTCGTCCACCGCCGCGCGAATTTAATTGCCGATTTCTCCATTGTTCCGTAATTTTCTTATCGATGAATCCGAGTGATTCGGCGATGTTCTTTTCCTCTCGCGGGACTCTTAACGTGGTCGCACACAGGCTCAACGTTTCCAAAGATGCCCGATAAGATTATTCGTACAGGATCATCGGGAAGTGTGCATCGTCTTAAACAAAAATATATTTGATGCCAGTGAATGTTGTTAATTTAAATGTCGCAACGGAGTGGCAAAAATGTTCTGCGGTTTTGTCTCTATCGGAAATGGTTCCAAAAATCTGTACATTTGTTTGAGGAACAGTTTATTGCATGCATTTCGATATCGAATGCGATAAAAAAATATTCGGCAGTATACTGAAACATACTGCATTTTTTAGGCTGTTCTTCTGACATCTGGAGAAAAATCGACATTTTCTTTCGAATCACAATTTAGCTCGTGTGTAATAATCCTCATTCCAAAATTGATTTAATCACTTTAGATTAGTTAATTCTTGATGAGAAAGATTAGATTAATTTATTCTTGATGAGAAAGTTATATCAAGCGATGACGAGTACACTCGTCGCTGTTCAAATATTGGATCGAAAAGACGATTTTATTTGATAAAATTGACAACTTTATTATTATTATATTATTATACTATTATATTATTAATATTATTCACATACTTAATATTCACATATTTATTACTGAACATTAACATACACAATGAACGAAAAATGCAGGAAAAATCAAATACTTGTAAAAATGAAACTTCGCACGTCGAATATCAATATCGTGAATTATTCAGACAATTATTCACATTTTCTATTTGTTTCTTTTATTCCGGGCCGGTCTCAAAATATTCTAAACGTCTTGAAATTTGAGAATACGTTCATGTAAAATTAACTTACAATTTAAATAGCCAATGGTCATCAAACCCAACTAAGAAAAAAAACACAGATCGGAAAGCACAGCTTTTCCGCGAAAGAATTCGAAGTCGGCAGAATCCGGCTTATGGATCGTCTTAATGGACAATAAATTTACAAACGCTCGCAAGCGCGTGTCTCGCCAGTTTGCGCGACGTTCTTCCGCCTCCTCGATCAATCATAGTTTAGCTTTTCGAGTGTGTACATCTATCCTTATCCGCGCGAAGTTGCGCAACTTCGCAGCACCGTGAGGGCAGAAACGGGGCGAAGCCCGGGGAACGGAAGCGTCGCATTAAATATTCACTGTCAATAGTCACGTAATATTTCCCGGGAGTTCGTTCCGCGGAAGAATCGCAAGACCCCGGCGATAGTCGCGGCGCAATTTCCGCGAGACTCGATTCGCCCCGGCGGGGCGCCGGAACACCCGGAATCTTTGCGTGAACTGCGAAGATAAGCTGGCTGCGAGATTAGCTGCCGGAGAGTTTTTGCCCTTCGAAATATTGCGAGGGGCCTTATCTAAATGCGAGGGCGTTTAACGGGCCGCGGGGGACGTAACGAACGACGGCGTCCAAGCCGGCGAACTCTCGGCAGATTGCGTCGCTGCCGTTACGACGGCCATCT